ATCCTGTTATCTGGACCAATAGGATCCCTGTAGTAGCTAACACCAATCGGTTTTGCCAAGGCATCTTCAATCTGTTGAGTCCCTTACTAGAGATAGCATAGGGCACCCTTAGTAAACTCTATCGGGCAGAGAAGGCATAGAAGTAAGACCATTCTGAGAAGTATACTTATTCCTAAGTAACTCCTATCACTCATTCCCATAGTAGCTTGTCGTGTGAAGAGTCTAAAGTCCTTATAATCAAATCCATTATTTACAGTTTATTTTGCCTTTACATTTTTATTTGATTGCAGTACACACAATTCCTTTGCCACAACATATCCATTTGCTACCACATTGTTATCGTTCCATTTCCATACCATCTATTCATTTTGCCACAACATTATCATTTGTATATATACCATCTCTAACTTTACTTAGGTGACAGAGTAAAGTGTCGTGACAAACTTATTTGATTTCCCCCAATCCCTGTGGAGAACGATACTCACTCATCACTTTATTACTTGTTCGATTGTGTATACTTGCACACATATCCACACCATTTATAGTACTCGCAAACAGCGGACAGTTGCAGCTAAGGAATGAGCGAAGTCTGTCAACTACGAGGAAATGAGATGTGTATGGTGGCGCCAGAGACTACTTCCAAGTCAATGCAATTCTGCTACTATTTAGTCCTTTTTAACAACAGGTAAAACCAAGCCACTTGAATTTTTCAGGTCTTAGGTCGTGTCTACCACCACTCATTTGGTCAAATTTGATCCAATTTTGGCATATTAATAAAAAAATGAGTTAATTGTACAGGAGATACTTAAATTATGATCTTATTATATATTGATCTTTAAATTTTAAAATATAAATTTAAAATATTATATATAAATCTCCAAACTATAATCTCGTTCTAAATTAATTATTAAACTTTTAATTATACTATATCATTCATCATACTATTAATATTATTATATTCTGATCATTTTGTTAATGTAACATTAATCTATTAATTTTTTAAAATTATGAGAGTTGCATATGTGATCTTCTAATAAAATTTAATATGTTTTTAAGGTTTAGAGTTGGACACACAACCTTCTAAAAAATTAAGGCATGAAAATTAAGGTTTATGAGAGTTGAATCACTAGTAAATGGTGAACTTTCTAGTTTTGAATTTATTTTAAGTTTAGTTATATGGCATGAAATTTTGTTTAGAATTAATTTGCTTAGTAAGAAATTACAATCCAAAGATATGCTTCTTGATGTTGCGGTTAAAAACTTAGAGGGGTTAATTAATTACTTTGAAGAATATAGGGAAATTGGGTTTGACGATGCTATTAATGAAGCTAAAGAAATATCATATAATATTGGGGTCGAACCTCAATTTCCTTAAAAACGTATTTCTTATAGAAAAAAGCAATTTGATGAAATTCCAAATACCGAAAGAGAACAACAATCTTCTCAAGAAGCATTTCAAAAGGATTACTTTATTATTCTTATAGATATGACTCTTGTTCAATTGAAAAGTAGATTTGAACAAATGTAACATTTCGAGTCTATATTTGGTTTTTTGTTTGATAGTTCAAATTTAATTTCATTACTTGATGACGAACTAAAAAATGTTGTTTAAATCTTGAGTCCAATTTGATAAATGGTGAAGAATTTGATATTGATGGAAAAGATTTATTTATGGAGTTACAAACATTGCAGAAAATGTTGCCGGATGAAGCACACAAAGGTGAAAGTCCATGGACATCTATTCAAATAATGGAGTTTGGAAGAAGAATGGATATGTTCCATAATGTGTTGATAGCATATAAAATTTTGTTGACGGTACCGGTTACGGTTGCTTCCGTGGAAAGAAGTTTTTCAAAATTGAAGCTCTTGAAATCATATTTTCGAAGCACGATGACTCAAGATAGATTGAATGGATTAGCAATTCTAAGCATCGAAAGTCAATTTTTACAAAGTCTTGATTATCGTAAAATAATAGAGGTTTTTGCTTCAAAAAATGCACGAACACATCATTTTAGGTGATATTTGTAGCCTTGTAGGTTTTGGTTTGTATTAGTATTGATATTGTTTGACTATAATTTCGATTACATTTTTGTTTTAAAAAAATTATTTATGTTTTGTCTATTATACGGTACAAGTATAGAGGCATAAAATTATTATCTCGTCCAGGGCATTAAAACTCATTGGATCGGCCCTGCTTGGTGGCTAACGTTGGGGGTTCAATCAAGTATCACAGAAAAATACTTAGCCTCTTTTATTATCTTAACAATTTCAGACTTTATTGCATTTGCAAGCATAAGAATTAACTCTATTTGAATGTTGTGACCAAGGTAATGAACATGTATCTCATCATTAGTAATGCGTCGAATATGCTCTTGTATAATAGGATCAAATTCACCTAGCATTTCTATCAATCCCAAAAAGTTCTCATTGCTACTTTGATACAATCTCTCATTAGTACCACGAAATGCTAAACAATGTTTTCCAAGAAATTTTACAATCGTAATAATTCTCAACAAGACACTTTTCTAATACTCTTTCTCTTTTTGTAGTTGCTTTTGAGCTACTTTATCAATAGTTTCATTCTTTTGAAGTCTTAAATGTAACTCATACCAATTATTCATATTTTATATATGTTTCATGTTAGTTTGATGCTCTTTAATTCTAACACAAAGATGTGCCCAATTGTTAAAACCCTCATTTCCTATTTTGCCTCTATCAATCCCATTCTTTTTAAATAATTTACAGCAAAAACAAAACACTTTATCAAGTTATTTTGAATATACAAGTCAATCTCCATCGCATTTTTTCCTATTGGGCAAAACTCTAGTATAGAATAAGGCAGAAAAATGTCTTCCTATTTTATATGTATCACCTCTCTCAATAGACAAGTCCTTTTTAGGACATTTTACCGTCAAAATATCAATCATTTGAGATTCTAAGTGATCCCAATTTCTAGAATCATATACGTTAAACATATGCTTTGACGACATTTGATTCCTAGTATCCTCACAAACATCAATGTCATTAATTTGAGTACCAATTGAATTGGTAAAATTAACACAATCAACATCCTCATCAACATTATCACATGAGGCATTATTGACATTCACATCTACATCATCATTTGTTAATTCATCATCTAAATGCACATTATCATCAATAGTAGCCTAATTACGATCGACATCATTAACATTAGAACTACCAACATCAACAACATTTTGATTATTAGTAGATAAATTTGGTTTTTTAGCAAAAAAAAATTATCAATTGCTCCTTTTTGTGATCAACAAATGCTTTTTTTTTGTTTTTTGTTTTTACGCTTTTCACAACCTGATTCATATATTCTCTTATGCTTCATAATAATTAAAAAAATAAAGAAAAAAGCTCCAATCAAACAAATAAACATAAACTAGAACAAATCATACGGTTTATGTCCAAAACAATAAAATTAATTAAATACAACACCCGAAAAAATAATAAAGAATTCTAATTTGATTAATTAAGGGAAATAGTAGGAGCAATAAAACATGATTTTGTGATTGAAATTATAAATTGATTATAATGTCAGTGTTGGATATGCCAAAAGCCGTAATATTTTATGCTATAAGCCTCTAATTGTACCCTTAATATTTTCGGTGATTGTGTCGAAATTACAATCGCCACTTGAGGGAAGAGAAAGAGAGAAGGAAAAGATAAAATTAGTTGGCATCTTCATGGGTTTAATTAGTAAGATTAAATAGAAGAAAAAAAGTTAATCGTTAATGAAGATTTAAGAGTTAATTTGGGAAGAAGAAATTGAGAATTAAATGAAGCGAGAAAGAAAAAGTTGAAGACGAGGGTGAAGTGGAGTTTAAATTAGTTGGCATTTATGTTTTTTTTTAATTTTTAATTTTTGATTTTTTTTAAGGTCATCCACAAGTCAAAGTTCAATGTACCACTCAAGTAACGCTTGATCAGTGTGTTGTATGAGGCTCCTGCATAAATATAGGAGCAATAAAACATGATTTTATAATATTTGTCTCAATTTATATTTTTACGATAATTTGGTATAAATTAAGTTAATTAACATGCTTAAACCACTGATAAAACACCTAATTCCCCTCCAACGGGCCTGGATTCAAATCGTGTTATCCTTTATTTGAAATTTTCTTGAATTTTATTTTTATAATATATGATGAAATTAACATAATCGGTTCAAATCTTGTTATGCTTAAAAATTTTATTTCTTATAAGGTGGTGACATGTGTCGTCATTTTATTATAATTTGAAATATATTATATCATTATTATAGTTAAATTTTTAAATGATTAAAATATAAACGAGCGTAATATTATATATACTTTTTTTAAAAAATAGTTAAATGATCAAATAAAAATAAAATAATAAATAGATGAATTAAATAAATAATTTATCTTATTATTTATTTACTTACTAACAAAGCTTAAACTGGGAAGTTGGAATTAGAGATTAACAAAATATTTGATTTAAATAAATTCAAAATTTTAAAAGCTTATTATCAAAATCATCACCAACATTTTTAAAATTATAATTATTTTATGGGTAAACCACGTATTTAATACCTAAAATATTAGTTTTGGTCTGTTTTAGCACCTAAACTTTTAATTTTTTCAAAATCATACATAATGTTTAGTTTTCATTTCATTTTAGTATCCCACCGTAAAAATTTAACGTGTTTAGTACATAAACTATCAATTTTGGTCCGTTTTAATACCTGAAGTTTCAATCTTTACAAAACCTAACATTAAATTTTGAACGGGTTACTAAAATGAAACAAAAACTAAAATTTTTAAAGACGAATACTAAAATGAATAAAAAAATAAATTTTAAGTATGATTTTGAACAATATTAAAAATTTATGTACTAAAATGATTTAAAATTGATAATTTAATAATTAAATTCCTAGTTTACCCTTACTTTATTCAAGAAAGAATATAAAAATATATTAACGAATATATCCCAAAGCCACACACAATTCTGGAACAGTAAGATTTGGTCGGAGCACCTACTTTTTTATATGTTTTCTTTTCCCCTTTGAGACAAAAAGACTACCTTGCTTCTAAGTAACTTGTATCTGTTTCAGTTTCAGACGAAGAAAAAAAGCTCCAGTTTTCAACTAAAAAGGGCAGTGAAAAGGAGAAAGAGAGATGGAAAGAAAGGGCTTAGTTATATGCAGTGTTGTGGCCCTTCTGGGGGTTTTATCAGCCGCCACTGGTTTTGCTGCTGAAGCTACAAGGATTAAGGTAAACTATATATATATATAATATGGGATTTTGATCAGCTCTTCTTTAATGGGTTTCTTGAAAATTCTTGTCTTTTGCTTCGTTCTCATCGGTTTCTTGCTTAGCTTTACTCCTGTTTGTGTTGAGTGATTAAAAACTGCAAAAGAATAGCAACTGTTGCTTCCAAAATTAGTCTCTGGTTTTCCGTCTTTTGTGTATATGCTAGGGATGGAAAAAAAAGGTGAAACTTTCCTTAAGAAAGGTTTAAATTTTGAAATTTACTTGTAATTTCTTATAATGAATTCTTTAACTTTGTTCTTTTACTCCCTGAGAGAAAGAAGATTACCTTACCTAAGCATATACCCTTGAGTTTAAGTGATTCCAACACCTATGGCATATATTTTGTAGCTAAGGCCAAAGTGCTTTGTTTTTAAGGGGTGGGTGTATGAAACAGAACATGGGGAAATCAGATGCTTAATATAAGCACAATAAAGCAGCAAATTCAATCTATTTGAGTTATTATTGAGAAGTTAATGGAGAAGATAGTCGATGATAGACCGGAGTGACATATGGAATATCGGTGCTTGATCGATCTGGCTACTTCTGTGACCTCCATCTTTAGAATTTGAGGTCTTATCAGTTAATGGGAGTGTTTCAACAGTGAGTTTTTTGTATTCTATTTCTTTTTCACCATTTTTGGTTGTCCTGGCATATAGGATGAGTATCAGTTTAACCATTTTCATTTTATACTGGCACAAGTTTGATTTTGTGCGCAACTTCGAATTCAATTTTGGGCAAGTTCTTGCAACAAGTTTTCATTTGTGGAGAGCTCTATTATTTCATCTAATTCGCTGTTGCATGAAAATTTTATGTCAATGCTTAGACTAGCGATTCCATGCTAATTACAACTATAAATTGCAAAAGACATTTGGTTCATATATTTTAACCGAATTACCTGCTGGAAAGAATTTTCTATATCTATTTCGAATTGGAGCTTGTGAAACTGAGAATCTGAATAATATGCTACTGCTGTTCCTTCCATGCGTTAAGTAAGTTACTTGGATATCGGCTTTCTGGAATTCTTATGACGTCCAGCTGTTCTTTTTTTTTCCCTCTCTCTTACAGGCTTCAGATGTTAAGTTTGTCTCCAATACACAATGTTCTTATCCTCGGAGTCCTGCACTTGGTCTTGGCTTAACCGCGTCAGCAGCACTTCTGGTAGCTCATATAATCATTAATGTTACAACAGGGTGTATTTGCTGCAAAAGAACCAGTCAGAATTGGAACTCTAACTGGACAAAAGCCCTTATTTTCTATGTTGTTTCTTGGTGATTCTCGAGCATAACTTATTGATAGAACATATTTGTCCTTTTTTTACATTATATGTTTTTTTGTTTCCTTGGTATTACTGGTAGGGACTAGGGACTAAAATCTGGAACCTAGATCTTCTGCTTTCTTCATAGGATTAGTAACCTATACCCACGATAGTAAATATATGAGAATTATTTACTAGACACTCAAATATTGACATTTAGTCCTATGCTTCGTAAACAGTTGTTTGGAAGAAATTTATTCCAAGACTGATAACAGAATGTCACGATGGCTATAAATGCATATTTATCTGAACACCATATCAAGCGGTGCTATCGCAGTAATTCAGCTAGAAGTCTATTGTGATCTCATACTCGACTTGGGCTTCTTTCTGCTCTTTTAGGTGCTTAGCACAACATCAAAGCCTGAGGGCTGGGTGTTTGTTGATTTATATTGTAGTCTGCATGTTTTCCCCATTGATTTCAGTTGGCATTAGGCCTACAGGTCGCAGTAGTTACCTATTGTATATTGATTTTAGGATGGATGCTTTACAGGCTATCGCATGAATGTTGAATGCAACTGTGAAAGAGAATTATTTTGTTTACAAAGCATAGGACTAAAATGTCAATATACGAGTGTTTAGTTGCTTTTTGGTCCAGCATGTTTTTCACTGCGTGCCAGTTGCTTGAGCCAAAGTTTATATGTTGAGAATGAGTAGTCTTGGGACTGTCAATTTGCCTCGAGAAAGAACGCTAAATAGTCGACAGAGTAGGAAATACTTTTGTAGATGTTTCTGGTTTTTCTTGCGGATTCCATGTTTTATGCTCGATAGTGACGTAGAGATTGCTTTCATCTTGTTTATTATAGGGTGTCTGTTGCTTGTAGTGTGCCAACTTTCTCTTTTCGAGTAAATAATCAAATGCTTACTCCATGTTCTTCCAGGTTCACATTCGTTATAGCTTTCCTTCTCTTGCTAACTGGTTCTGCACTCAACGATCAGCACGGTGAAGAGAGCGTGTACTTTGGCTACTACTACTGCTATGTCGTGAAACCCGGAGTCTTTGCCGGGGGAGCCGCCTTTGCCATTGCAAGTGTCGTATTTGGGATCTTATATTATCTCACCTTAAACACCGCCAAGGACACAAGCGGTCCTTGGGGCACTGCAGCTGTTCCGAATCAAGGTGGCATAGCCATGGGACAACCTCAGTTCCCACCCCACCAGACCTCACAAGATCCGGTTTTTGTACATGAAGATACTTATAACAGGCGGCAGTTCACTTGATCGGAAAATTTCCGTAACACCCGCGAATCGTATGAGACTTTATTTTAGCTGCATGCATTGTATAAACTTGTTTCAGGTAAGGATTCTTTATATAGTTAAATAGTGAACAAGCTTTGCATGAAGATTTGTTACATAGCTAAATCTATATGATATAGTATATGCTCTTACACTTATTTATTTACCCTATTTAGGGTAGGCTATCTATTTGGTCACTACTCAATTATTATTTTTTTGCAATGTTTTTGTTATCCGTCATTAAAAATTTAATAGTGATACTAATATAATATTTTTTTTATTATTTTTCAATATTTATGTGATATTATTTTATAGCGACACACCAAGATCACCTTTACTTTTTTTAACAACGGGTGATCGAAATAGAACCATCATATTAATTATGATTTTTAAAATATTAAAAATTGAATGACCAAAACAAAAATTAAAAGTAATAGGTAGGTGAACAAATAATTTACTAATTTATTTATTGTTACCCAATTTACAAAAGTTAGGGCTTCTATTTAACAAACCTCATGCCACTTCAGAAGTAATTTTCAGAATACATATGGAAAATGGAAGGAATAGAACAGTAATCATGGCTTAAACAATTCAGCATAAGTCCAGTGATAAAAAAAAAAATTGTTGTTACTCCTTGAGGGCTCGAGTTTGAGGAACAGAAATGTCAAGGATATAACCATTTAATGTCATTCAAGAGATATTTACTTAAATGAATAGCATTGCTATCTTATCTTTCATTGCTGATGGTAAAATAAACACATCTAGATAAAAGTATTTTTCAACATATGAAGTATACATACAAGGTAAAAGTGAAAAGAAAGACGAGAAAATAAAAGATTCCACCAGCTATCTTTTTCTTTTTTTTCATTTCCCCTGTGATATATTAAATTCGCATAAAATGCCAACTTTGACAGTCAAATTGGACCTACATTGGTAAAACTATAACTTCTTCATCAAGGTAAACCATATTTTATGCAAATTCCAATCTGCTTGCTTGCTTCTGGCATAATTTCTCATCACCTCTTTGCTACCTGACGATATACCTTTATTCCATTGATTTCTCGGAGACAAATGTCCAGCGAAAGTGAACCCCTAAAACGCTACAAGTAACAAATATACTCATCATATGTAACTTGGTTTCGATGCTGAGTACCTGGTTCGTCCAATTATTGGAAAGAAAGAAGACACCTCAACTTGACAACGCTAACAATGCAGTGTTTGGAGGGGATGCTTTTGTCAAAAAAGAGGAAACTAGCAATGTTTATTTTGCTAACAGTATTTAACGTTTCATCGTATCAATGTACAATGTAATCTATGACGGATCTCTTACCGCATCACTAGTGGAGAAAATCACTTTACTAGCTGCTTTGTATGGTAGCCTTTTGATCCTTTCAAGTAACCTACTGAATACTAGTTTGACAGGTATGCAAGCCACTGTTGTAGGTCCAGAACACTCTGGTTTGATTAATCCGAACATTTGATGGTTATCACTGAGATTTCGTTCTATACCAATTGACGACAAAGCTCTTGTTTTCTGACTAGAAAATAAGCTTACCTTCTTCGGTAACTTCTTTTGGAACTTCCTGTCAGTCGGAGAGCATTGAACATGAGGTATACTGTTTTTGACCAGGCCTACCTTATACTCAGAACTTCCTATATTGTATTTCTTGAAAGGAGGGCCTTCATGGTCCAAGGATTGATATTCAGCACCTACATAACTACCCAATACAAATGGCGGGTGAGACCGTGGGATCCTAAAATTGGTCCTCTTGGCAGTCCTCCATGCAGGCGGAAGTGAGGTATTTCCATCATGGTTATTTAGTCCATTACTAAAACAACCATTAATGGGGAGAAGGGACTCAGTTGAACTGTCTTCTAGAGCTTCAATTTGAATGGGATGCCCTATTATGGCCTTCCCATCCAACTTGCTTATCAATGAAACAATAGGTACCGGTTGTTTCTGATAGTTTGCTTGGACTTTCAAATCCACGTCCATCAACATAGATCTTTTCCCACGGAAATTACGATGGGCAGCAAATATCGGATCAAAGCGCCAACCTTTGTCCACCCAATCTCTTTCTACAGAAGCATGGTTATCCCAAGGCATGCCTTCCCAATAAGTGATGTTATGATTGAAACTAAATCTCCTTCTGGATGTATCCCTTGGTGTATGCAAATGTCTTCTATCATCAAATACAACCATTTGGGTCCCAAAATCTTTTGCACTCAAATCAGTTACATCATCATCGTCAAAGTCGTTATTTAAATGAGAACTATGACCTAATGGCCTTTTTCGAAAAGCTCCCCTTTTGTCATGATATATCCCATGAGCAGATCCATCATAACCTCTTACCTCTGCTGCATCCATGGATCTTTTTGTCAGATTCCGCATGTTCCTTTTCCCTTTTAGCTGCCACTTGGAAACAGCTTCGTTCATAGAAAAATGACCATGACTGTAAAAGTGAGACATCTCACCAGACAGAGATGAATCATCAAAATCTCCCTGGACCATGCTTCCACCTCCTAGTGTGTCGGGTCTTTGGAAGGCACCTAACCGGACATCCTTACATGCAGTAGCACCTGAATAAAGAAAATAAGGATATAATGAGAGGAATAACCAGTTACCAAAATATACCAATAGTTATGCACGCCATGATGCTTCCCGAACTGAACATCAAATCCATTGGGCAACCAATACCTATGTTTCCCAGACTCAAGTGAAAGTATCCATATATGCATGTGATTCATTAATTGTCTGATATCCAAGACATGAGGATACCACCAAAACAAATTCAAAACTAAAGTACAGATGATGAGAATGAAAATAACTTTAATATAATAGAATATGTTTATTCCATTATAATGGGGGTTTTTTTTATCAAACCATGAATGGGCATTCAAATAACAATGTACAGTCAATTTTTGAAAATCATTGTTGAATTTAAAACTTTTCTGAACCCAAATCCTCTAAACATACGATCAATCCATTTGATGGCCCGCAAAATTTGATAAACTGAAGTGTAAGCCTCCTAATTGAACCAAAGCATGCAAAATCCAAGTGAAATTAAACCAAATCGATAAAACAAAACGAAAAGAAAGTTGGCAGAAAAAACAAGATGAAAAGTAGTCACATGCTTGAGCTTAGACGTTCACACTTGAATGAAAATCCTAATCCCCAAAATAGTTATTATTTCCCCTCCTCTTTCTCGTGCATTTTGATGTTATTCTCCAATCTTCTCATGTTTCCTTCATTCTCTTTCTACCATCTTTCTTAGCCATCTCCACAAACAATCCAGGAAAATACAAATCATATCCCATACCCACACATATGTGTCATGTTCTATCAACATGATTTAATATCCTGAGTCCGAGCAACAGAGATAAATAACACAAAAAGTGAAGTCATGATGCTTTCTTGACTAAGCATCAAATTCCTAGGGTAATCAAAAGGGAAGCAATGGATGGAAGTAAAGACCATCAGGTTCAAATTCCTACATTTTGGTCTTGCAAATTAAGTCAAATTCAGAAGATTATACGCACACATATAGGCCATGAAAATTGTTAATCTTCTATTACAAATTTATTATTTATGTTATTTCCATGCATACTTTAATGTTGGCCTCTAAACTAAATATAACTTGGCTCAGCCACTAGAAATGTAAAAACAAGGAGAAATTTTAATTTCATATGTAGCCAATAGAGGAACTTTCAAATTTCATTCTAGATCTGTGCTATTGATCAAGTCTAGCATTATTTTTCAACTATGAAATTTGACCACTTTACTCTGATTTATTTTAATTACAATCAATACATATACATCATGAGCAAAATTTATAACAGTAATTACATTTTTTTATATAAAACAGAATTTCAAATATTACTCAACAATCAACAATTACATGTATGGAACTAAAGAAACACCAATAATATCGTACAAAGCTCTGTGGTTCGGACACGCCATATTAGGTGGGGCACTCATGTCAATATGACTCAACTGGATATCAGTCTGGGATATGGGTTGGGTTCTCTAAGATGATGGCAGAGAAGGATGGAAAAAAGAGAACGAAAACATGAGAAGGAAGATTGGAGAAACATCAAAATTCACACAAGAAAAAGAAGAGAAAACAATCACAATTTTGGGGTTCAAAACTGAAGTTAAAAGTCAAAAAGTCCAAGGTCAATCACAAGAGTACTTTTTATCTTGTTTTTTCCACCAACATACATGTTCTCTTCCGTCCATTTGGTTTATTTTGCTTGGGTTTTGCATGTTTTAGGTCAATTACAACATTTGGGATTCAGTTTATTTTTTTCATGGGTCAACAAGGAGGAGTTAACTAGAGTATTCGAGCTCAGAAAGCTTTCTAAAGGTTTTAAAGTCAAAAGCCATTTTAGATAATTGAAATGTACAATAATATTTGACAGCCCATTTATGATTCAATAAAAAGATGTCCATTATAATTTGATAAACATAAACTACCATATTGAATTTATAAAGAGGCCCCACACCTGTATCTTAGTTTTAGATCCATTTTAGCTGTATCCACAAGTCTTTGTTTTAAGGAAATTGATGAATTAGACACTTTTGCACATACCAACACCCAAAACCTGCATTTGAGTTTGAGTAACATAGGTAATAGAAAACAATATGTGAAACATAAGGTTACCAAGTCAAGTAACAGCAACAGAAGGATTGCATGTCTGTGGGAGATGCTCAATCCTCAAGGAGAAAAAAATTTATCTAGGGTGCAAGATAATCATCCCAACATAAAACATGAACCTAGAATTAAGAATAAGATTAGATAACCTGTGTGTGAAGTCATATCTTCATCCATATCTGGTTCAGTCTCAGATGAATCAGACTCTGACTCAGATTCAGAGGAAGTTGATTCAGAAGAACCAGATTCATCATCTTCCAAGAACTCACAAGTATTATCTTCAACCATGTGACTCGGAAAAGGATAAGAATCACATTCCACATAATGAGGAGGTGACATCTCAATCTGGTTTGGAGGAATATCTTTATAATCCAAAGCACCAAATGACTCAGGTGGGAAGTATATGCATCTGCTTCTCTTTGCTCGAGAAACACCCCGCCTCCGCTCTCCTGAAATAGTAGAAACAACACAAATGTCAGGATGCATAAAGATGAGAGACTTCTAATTTTGAAGTATTCTGCAAGACTTGAACAAAAGGGTACCTCCTGCTACATCTATTAACCAA